GGAATGCTGATGCTGACATAGCTAGAACTTTCTCTTTGAAGCTGAGCAGTCATCTACTGGGCCTTTTTATAGACCTCTTCATGTAGGAGTTTCCTGTTCTTTTGCTTCAGAACTCCACTGGAAGAGAGGGAAAATGTTGGTCCCCAAATTAAGCCATGTTGTATAATATGTTGCACAACATTACTTTTTGTGTGTATTATATGCTGCCTATGCTGATTTGTAAGAAAGGGGAGAGAGATGTTGCTTACTGGAGTCTTGGTTTTGAATGATAAGGAAGCTGCTGTGCTGAATCTGTTAATTGGTGCTAACTTTAGCACAAGGTCTATCTCCCACAGAGATGGGAGGAAATGTACTGCACAAGGCAGCAGTGAAAAAACTTTGAATTCCAGAACACAGAGAGAAGATATGCCCTGCCAAGTTATCTCTTGATCACCTTTGCCAAAACCAAAACTCCATCAAGATCAAGTTTTACTTGATAGACAGGTCAACTAACAGTGCAATCCTAATACAGAGTAATACCTTTCTTAGTCAATTGAGGTTTATTAGTTTAAAGGGTGTAACTCTGTTTAGGATTGCACTGTGTGGTTTTACAAATTAGGTTAATTTTAAGGGCAGTCATGAATGCCTTGTCCCATCTTTGGCACTGATATGTATGTCTGGTGGGGAATGAGAAATAATATTGGCCTTCTAATAAGTGGTAGTTTTTGTTTAAATTGCAAAGTTCTTTCACTACTTTCAAATAGCCTTAGAAAGGCATTTGTATTTAGCAAGCTCAGTCAAAAGCAAGGTATGTGATCAACTGAAATCTTTATAACCATCCTAATTTATAGATTGTGTGCAGTTACTTTTACACACACATCACTAAATTAGTCCTAAAGCAGTATGTATAGCCATGTGGTTGATCCAGGGTTCATTGTAGACACATGAAAGTACCTTTAGCAATATTTTATATATGCTATAAATACTTTGGGGGAAAATATGTCAAAGGGAAAAAGTCACAGCAAAGTTTTGTAAACTAACAGCTTTTTTGATTTATACAGTTGCCTTTGGCTACACTAACTTTAGGTTGATATAGAAATATGCAAACCCTCAAGTTCCACAGAATTAAGGCACACACAAACATTGCTATGTATCCAGTGCTTGTTTTATGCTGGCAGTTTGCTGCTCTTGAAGGGGGGGTGAGCAGCTTTCACTAATTCTACCACAGACCCCCTCCCCCCACATTGTGCCCCACCTAAATCAGCAATCTGTTGGTGGGGACAGCAGATGGCATTGGGAAAGTTCCATTCCAGAAGCAGAGCACTCCATTGGCAGCCCTTGATACAACTCCTTATATTTATTGCAGCTTTGCCAGTTTTAGTAGTTCATAGATAACCCAGCTGAGCCTTACAGTACTTAGAACATCATTCTGTTTGGCAACTAGTTTCATAATGGAGGGGAACAAATTTGAGGAGAGTTGGTAGCCTCTGTAACTCCCCCTGGCAAGACTGGCTGAAGCACTTTTCAAGTACCTGGGTTTAGCCCTGGGGCCTCCAGTTGCTGATCTCTTAAGAGTTACTGCTTTGAAGCCCATGGACAGGGCTCCATTGCCCACAATATACCAGGCTTTATGTGGGCTTCCCTATGGCTCCACTTAGCTTGCAGCAAAAGAGAACATTTTAAATAAAGAAGAGCTGATTGTAGAGCAAAGTCTAGGACCATATGCTTCCAGTGTGCAAAGTATTTCCTGACATTCCTGATTTTATCCTTGCAATAATCTTGTGAGACAGGTAATTGTTGCTCTAGTCCTGTTAACAGGAACTGGCTAAAAAAACTAGAGGGGCAGAGGAATTTGGCCTGATAAATGGCATTTGCAATGAATGCACTGCAGAAGGTGGTAGGGAGGTAATTCACAATGCATACCATATATAGACCAACAGCATTTGTCACTTTATATGAAATGCAAGCAGAAAGTAAACCCATCCAACAATACAGGACAGTCCTATGGAGATTGGTTTCAATTGGCTTACTTGGAGTAATACTGCATTGGCCTGCCTTGCAAGTGTGCTAATTGTGAGCCTACAACTGGACTGGACATCAGTGTGGCAAACATGCCATCAACTTGGTCTGAGGTTTGCTTAACCAATGGAGTCCTGTGTACAGAGATTACATCTGTGAGCCTAACATCTGAAACTGCTGGTTCCTCTGTATATTCTTTCAGTTCCTGGACTTCTAAAATGTGACCATATCACATGTGTTGGTGGCAGAAGTGTGTGATAAACTTCCTTTTGTTTGCAGAATAGCACCAATTTAAGCCAAACTGGTTCTGAGAGCAAGGAAATCAGCCCCAGAGGGAAGTCATAATCTCTCTGTATTCTGAGGGACACAATGGGATTTAAGATTGGGATTTCAGCCAAAGCCTACTTTTTTAATGGTTGGTTTCTAAATCATTTTATAGCTTAAATGAATTGCATGGTCTTAATGCAGCAATACCCTGATTTTAAAAGATGAAAGGAATTTAATGTTTGGCAACTTGAATTTAGGCTGTGTCCTCCTCAATAAAATTTTAGCAGCTGTCTCTGAATATAACCCTTGGCCTCTGATTTTATTTCTCTGTCCAAGTCTGTAATGCTCACAATGCTCTACATGGCCATAGAAGATGTCAACAGCTGAATAATTGCAGCACTCTGGGTTTTATTCAGAGAAAACCTGTGGGAGAACTACAAAGATCATTAAATGCTGAATAAATGCTCATGAACTTCTTTGGGGGGGGGGTTGGAACTACTGAATGCCCCTCATACCAACAAAGGCTGGCTAGAGAACTCCAAATTGTAGTTCTAGTTCTGTTCTGAGTCTGGTCTGTAGCTGTGTAGGAGATTGCCTGGGAATCCTGTGGCTCTTTGGCATCCTTAGAAGAATATGCAGCCCATATCGGCCAACAGACAACATTTGCTAGCAGGTCTCTGAAATTCATTGCTCACCAGCTTCTTGGGGCCCATTGCATTGATGATATGCGGGTATAACTACTGTGCCCGTTACAATATGGTAGCTTTTTATTATCTTCAAGAAATAGTTTGGAGGGTTACTGACAGTGGCCTAGTGAAAATATCCTATAGAGGGTATATGGTGCTAATGGGCCATGTTCCCCCTGTGATTAATAGCCATAAATTATCTGGTTT